CATACTTTGTTTGCCATTCTGCTGTGACTCTTGCAGAAATATAGTTAACATGCTAGTACAGAGGTGATGTGTGCTGTACCAGCTAGGCTCTGCATCTGCAGTCCCTCCTCAGCATAATGCATGCCTGTGATGCTTTCTGCTGAGCTCCTTGGCTCATTCCTCTTGTTTGTGTTGGTTGTAGAACTATCTAAGGAACTTTTGTGAGATGAGGTTCATGGTGTGGGTTTTGCTCTCCTCCACACCCACTGCTGGGTGCTCCAGAGGTTCTGATCAAATTCCAAGTTTGCTGCAGCAAAGAGCCTTTATCAAGGGAAAGCATGCTGTATGCAAAGCATGTTGAAGTGCCCTCTTATGAAATGAGGTTTGACTTTCTGTGATATCAAAAAGAACACTAACCCAGAATTTAATATATCCTGGGAAATCATATTTCACAATCTAATGCCTGGAGCCCTTTTCTTTTTAATATGAGGATCAGAATTCTAATCTCTCTCATGGTTTGCCTAAGTATTTTATGTTAAATGACAGTAAGTTAATAAGTACAAAATAGTGGGTGGTTAAGCACTGTTTAGCAGCCTAACACTGTCTAAATGGGAAACCTCTTGGTGTAAGATAAGGAGTGAATTTAAAAGAGTAAAACTAAATCAGTGTAGCCACATCTTGTAGACATTCCCTTCTTGATATTAAACCAGATGGGGTTATTTTAGCTTACTGTTTATGAAGGCTTTTAAACTAAATAGCGAGTCTTACCCTGCCTTATCCTGGAACAAAGGTCTATCCACGTAATGGAGTTGTGTTAATGGATCTCTAGCTGCTCAGCCATCTTGGTGGGATTGTTTAAAGCCTTTGAGGTGAGGAGAGCTACTGGAACAGTTGCCAGGGGACTTAGTGAAAAGAAAAAAGCTGACATGTGCTAAATGTGCAGCCACTTCTCTGATAACACGTGATAGTGTGGAACAATGGAGTGGGCAAGCTCGATAAGAATTTCCAGTAGGTTTGCTCTGAGGGAAAGGGACTGTGATAGCTGTGTAGAAAGTACCTTGCCATAATCTGATGATATGGCAGCTTTTGAGACATGAAAGGAGGGGACTGGGTGCCTTCTGCCTGAGCCAGCAATGGGCTGCTGAAGGCAGGGTGGAATTATTGTGCTGGGATACTGCTGCGAAAGCTGCTATGAGTAGCACCTGCTCTGCCACAGGAGTAATAGTGCCAATAGCAGTAAGATAAGGTCAGACGAGGGGACTGTTAGTATAAATTATAATGGGGTTGTGTCTAAGGGCTTTTTGAAACACCAGTTAAAGTACTTTTGTAAAAGGGCTGCTACTATAGCTGCTCTCATGAGGAGAGTGTAGCATCTCCTGTGGTAATCCTGCATGACTCTATATCATCTTTTTCCATTGTCAGAGGATACCACACAGGATTGATAATAACTTCTTGTGCTTTGCTGAGATATGAACTATGCAACCCTACTTGACCCACCAGTCAGCTTCACTTAAGTCTTTGGAGTGACTTCTTTAAAGAGGAAAAAAAATTGAATGGATGGATGATGAAGTTTGGTATGTCTTGGATACAGGCAGATTACAAACTATATCTACAAATCCCTGAACATGTTGAGTATTAATCAGCAGCAGAAAGTTTCCTGGATGATTGTACTTCTTTCTAACTAAACCTATTATCCAGAGCTCTTTATTAGATTTTTCCTAAAGTATTGCTATGAGTCCTTCTCTGCTGTCTATTGATTGCTGTGCTTTGCTGGTCGCTTTCATATATGCAAGGGTCCAGCTTGCTCTTTTCTTCCTCCACCTGACACACTTACGTTTGCATTTAAATTCCATGGAAGACTTCTCAGACTGCCTGGACTGATTCATATTTGTGACTTTTTTTCACAGAATATTTTGCTGGTGGCTTGTATCACCTGAGTTTCCTGTTTCATTAAACAATTTAACTCTCCCTTCTGTGGGTCCTGGCAATGCAGCTTTGCTGAGTCTGTGTGCTGGCACAGCATAACTGTTTGAAGTGAAGAGAGGTGAAAAATTCACACCACAGAGGCACTTGAAAGTCTTTCCTAGACTAGACAGAGAAATGTAATGTCCTTAATAAGGGTTAGGGTATCATACAGAAGCTGATCTTTTTTAGAGACTACATTGGAACAGTGTGCAACCATTTTAAAGTGTACCAGGGCATACCAGCACTGTTTATGAGTGTGAAAAATGAAGGAACTTTTAGGACAATTTCAAATTCTCTCCACTGCATTGTGGGATGGAGTAAAAATGTCCAGTGATGATCAATATCTCTTAATGGGTGAGATTCCACCAGCTCCTCGGGTCTCTGCTTAGTAAGAGAAACTTTGATCTGCTGTTGCATATGTATAGATGAAATACAGAAATATTGTGATATCAGAATGCTCCAAGGATGAATGCTGACACCATGGTGCTATGACTGAGACAACTCTGTAACTGACATCAGCAGATTAAAAAAAAATGCACTGTAAAAAGCAAATTAAAACATTTTCTTTTATTTTTTTTCCTTTTCAAACTGCCTCAAAAAGGTCTGAATTATATGAAGTTGGCAGGTTCAAGTGTGACTCAACTCATTGTTTTCATTCTCTCATTTTGGCAGCCTTCAGTAATTCCAGATGTTATTTCTCTAACCACACGGAAAAATTCTTATTAAAAAGGGGAGTGGGAGGGAGAGAAAGGAACTGTTTTGCTGCATTTGGTACACTTTTAAAGCAATGCTGATATTGCGTAGACAGTGCTCATGTGCAGCAGGCACTAAGGCTAGCTGGAGGCATGCCCAGGAGGAGACAGCCCCAAGATAAAAGGCCCTGTGTTACAGGGCAGAAATGAGAAGAAAGCCAAAAGCAGCTAGTTAGTTCAGTGAAATGGTGTTCTGTCATTCTAGGACTCATTTGTTGGGAGCTGTGAGGCCAGGACAAATGGGGAATTTACCCTGAACCCACTACAGTGAGGAAGCTCAGAGAATTATAGTATCATGTCAAAGACAGAATGAATGTTTTTCTTGCCCTGTGACCATGGGGAATATATAGTTAGCTCACAAACAATGCCTTGCTTTGAATGGAAAAAGGATTCATGTCTGCTTGGATGGTATGCTTTTAGAGCACATGAATCCACTTACTTTGCTTGGCTCACCTAGCATGTCTCGGCTTAGGGAGAAATGCAGAAAGCCCTTTATAATTTAATAATTAGAAGACCTCTCTTATTTAATGAAGGATAGAGGCTTGTGTTTTATCGTAACATGACTTTTCAAGGTGAGTCCAGTCTCTTCTTCTGCATTTTTTGAAGTCTTCTTCAGGATCCAGGAGTTCCAGAGATCTGAACCTGTGCTAGAGGAGCTAAAGGGCACTTCAGAGCCTGAGGTGGAAACAAAAAGTGGTGGGCTGAATCACATAGCTACAGTGCCTCAGACCTTGGCTGAGTGAAGCTGATTTCTTACGCTCAAATCTCTCCAAGAGAAGAGCCCTCAGGATGTGTTCACAGCTCCCCTTTGGAGCCAAACTGCACTCTGTATGATCATTGGTGGCTTGCCTTTCCAGCCCAGCAATAACCTTGGGAGCATAGGCATATACGCTGACCACTCTTCAAATTTAGTAAAATAATAAATATCACATAGAAGATCATAGACTCTTTCTGAACTATTGTGCAGAGTACTAAATCTTATTAATAAAAGCTGGTCTGGTGAATGCACTTAGAGCAACAGGCTCAGAGCGAAGCACATGAGAGGAAAAATTAGTGTGCTTTTGAGAACTGTAGGTTTCCCCACAACTTTTACATCAAAGACCTCAGTGACACTTCCTTATAAGAACAAGTTTTGGATTTGTCTCACTCTTAGGTGAAAAAATAAAACCCTTTCACTATGAAAAGAAAGGTCAGTCTGCATCTAATTGATTGGCTTGCCATGGTTTACCACCCTCCCCCTGCCCAGTGCGCAAGCTGCAGTAAAAAGTCATGGTGCTAGCATAAAAGAGAAGGGTTTTCTGTCTGTAGGTGATTCTGTACTGAAAGTGCAGAGAGGTTAAAAAAAAAGAAAACAAGCTCTGTTGGGTCTCTTGTTGGTAAAAGTGAGAACTGTTACTGGAAAATATTTTTTTTTTGTGATTAGTTGGTGGTGAGCCATGACTAATGCCTATTGTGCCAGTATGCACTTGTGTTTGGGTTACCAGGTCCCTCTTCCCCCCCTTGCTTGTTCTGTGTAGTTGATAGAGCCTGCTAAAACTTGTAATGTAAGGTCTTTGGTGCAGGGACTACTTTTTCGAGATGACTTGCACATTCCTTAATGCAGTAGGGGTCCTGGCTCAGGGCTAAAGACATTATGATAGCAAAAATAGTAAATTCAGTGGTGGTTCTTGGTTGCACTGACCTTTGCAGCATCTGAGTCACTTCAGTTTTGGGACTCTCGGGACCCAGAGCTCATGTTGGGTTTCATTCAGGGAGTGGAAGCCAAGTCTCCAGCCATGTTCATTGTGAAGTTTTCAAAATGGAAAACAATTGTTGATCCAAGTCCAAGACATTTTCTGGCTCCGGTAATCTTGCGTTCAGCATAATCACAATTAAATGCATGCAGTATTTGGTTTAGGGTCTTAGTGGGATGTATTGTGTTAGAAGCAAGAGAAAACAATACATTTGTTATTAATTTTTGTTTTATTTTAGACCTTTACTTACTTGAGGTTCTCTGGTTTTGTGGCTAACCCTGAGGATCTTTCTGCAAAGCTAACAGTGATTGCTTTACTTTTCAGTAAAAAATAAAAAATGAGAGAGAAGGCCACACATAACTTTTCTCTCCTTCAGGTATTCCAGAAAGTTCTTGCTTTACTAAGATCCATCTGGCAAATTAACAAAAAATCTCTGTCCCCAGATGATCAGTGATAAGATACTCTGCTGGGAACTGATGTGATGATGCAATTCTAAGAGCGAAGTGCTTGTTCCAGCATTGACTCTTGGTGACCTACACTGGACTGGATTCAGACAGGGCTGCTACAGCCAGCAGTAGCTGGCTGCAAAGTTATAGCAGCATACATTTTCCAGAGCATACAAAAAGTCTGCTGTAAGGATTAATCCAAAAGGAAAGAAAACATGCTTGGAAACATTGCCTCTAGGTTGGGTTGTGTCTTTCTGCCTATTGCAGGAAGAGGACACAAGAACTCTGCTGCCTGAAAGAAAGATCTAAAGAAGTGAGTTTTCTCATGGAAAGGTTTGATTTTTGTTCTGTTCTCAGGGCACTGTGTTGAAGAGGTGTTTGTATATCTTGGTGACATCAGTTCAAACAAACCATTAAACATTCTGGGTTTTCAAATTCCTATTGCATGAGACAAGGTAGGGAACGCATTGGGAAGTCAAACGTGTCTACCAAAATACTGAACAAACCAGCCAGGCAAAAGCTGACAAAATTGTTGCTGACAGTATTTTTTCCTACAGGTTAAATTAGTTGCAATCTTCAAAAATCTTCATTGATATCTTACAGGATGATGTGTTAGACAGAGATTCTGTCTGTGGACTGAGATCCCACCATTTTATAAGATCCTTCCTAAAGGTAAGTTTAAGAAAAAATGTTCCAGTTTAGAGTCTGTTGATGTCTGAATTCTGTTAAAGAATAAGTATTGGGTGTACTCCAATTCATCCTGGTTCTCTCTACTCAGTTTGCAGATAGTGGTTTGCTCCAATAGCAATCCTGTAAAACCACCATTTGATCATTAATGAGAAATGCTTCTCCAAAGCTGCTGACTATCATTTTTCTGCTCCTTCTCCAAGCACTAGCAAAGTCTGACATCTCATTCCTCTGCACAAAGCAATTGTGTGCAGCAGCTCCACAATTAGATGAATGCTTTATATATGGCAAACTTTTTCTATCTTTCATTCTTGGCATATTGATAAAAAGAATGCTAATGTGCCACCCATAAAATAAGGGTAAATAAGCAATGTGCTATTTATATCCTGTGGTTAGACTCATAAAAATCAATATTGTTTTACCTAAAACCATGAAGTTGCCTCCTGACTACTGTCTAACATTTTTCATAAGAAGGAGGAGTTGAGCATGCTTGGCTTTTCAGCAACAGGGGAAGTGCTATAATTTATAGGTAGGAGAATCAATAGTACCAAGCACAAACTAAGATATATTGCATAGTGAGGTGTGTGAAAGGTCCCGAGGCCTGTGACAAATTGGTCTGTCCAGCAGTACAGGACTTTCTTTTGATCCTTCATATAGCTCTCCTTATTTCTTGACTAAATGGAATGCAGATCCCATCAGAAAGTGGAAGAAGGTGGAATCATTGAGAGTAAATGCTAAGTACATTTTTGCAAGAGATAAGGCAGAATGTAGCCAATTTATACACAAATGAAGAGTTTACACACCAGGAGAGAAATGGCTCTTTGAAAGCCTCTTAAAGGTATAATTGCAACTGATTATTGAGTTATGCAATAACCAGTATTATTGAATACTAACGAGAATGAAGGATAGATGGACTCTTAAAAATTCTGCAGTTTTTGCATTCAAGGGATGTCTGCCAAAAGTAAGTTTGTCTGAAAGCGATGTGACTATTTCTGGCAATTAATTTTGAGATATAGTTGACATTTTCAGTAGTTTTAAGTTGACTCAGGCAGAAAAGTCTTAGTTATGAAACTGCATAACAGCAATAGGGGAAGCTCCACACAGCAGTCAAAACTACTTGAATTAATGTTGATTATAAAGTGTGACATTTTTAACAGAAGAAGGAAAAAGCAACACTGGAAACTTCCCATAGTGCTGTGAGGATAAGGTGTTACATTTGTTATCCTAGGGAGCAGATGAGTCTGATCAAAGACAAAATTGTGACTTGAGAAAGAGATTGAGATCAAGAGTGTGTGAAATGGATGATGTAGAATAATTCTCAGTGGTCAGACTCTGTGGAGCTGATGGAGATGTTGAACAGGGGCTGAATGCTGACCCTTGCAGGCCCTAGCCTGTCCAGTGTCTGTCATTTTGACGCTATTTGTTGGCAGTTCTTCTCCAGGGCTGAGGTTATCACAGTTGCGTCTGGTCCAGTGGAGACAGGAAGTGTATGAAGAATGGTGGAAAGGCAGGCTTTACTTGGGAACCTTTGCTTAATGGCCATTATGATAATATTACTTCCTGCTGTCCTGCCTTTGACAGTGCTCAGTAATGAGCTAAAAGAGAAGGACAGACTTAGTGGTGCTCCTTATGGTGAAACTCTCCCAGTTTTCAGTAGTGTGTGGCATTCTGGAGCTGAAGCTGCTATCCTTGAGCTTAATAGCCCTTGATGGATCTCTTACATGACTTGGTGCAGCTGCTTTTGGACTCCTTTCAGTGCTGACATTTGCAGTATCCTGGTGGCAATGTGCTCCACAGCTGAATATTAACTAGTCCAAGGAACAATCTTTTTCCCCTTTGTTTCATGGTAACTTTTTCATGGGTTTATTTAGTGTTCTCTCATTTGCCTATTTCTCTCTCTCTGTTACTACTTCTCTCTTCAATAAAAAAGGTGTTGTTTTCAGGTCTATAAATACCCTGATACAACTTTGCATGTGACCTCCCAAAGATATTCTGGTATTTTAAAATGTTAGTCAAACAACATTTCCTGAAGGCCAGTGATATCCATTTGTTGAGTTGGTTGTGTGGTGGGATGGGTGATGGTGACTTACTGCTGTCGACACTTGCAGGGCCTCATGAGAGAGAAGTTAATTACTGGGCTCTTCAGGACTGTCTTGAAAGCAGTTAGACTGACCATTTAAGTATCATTATGTGTAGGTGGGAGACGGAGATACAGTCTAAGAGGCTGTGGTATGACTCAGATGTTGTACTGTGCAGTTAGGATCATAAACTAAATAAAACCATCATCTGTTAGAAATCTTGCATCTGAGTAGTAACTGACAGATGCAGTTTATCTAAAATCTGTAACCGTGTCTCATCCAAGTATTTGTAAGAAACAAGTCAACCTGACTAAGAGTTTCAAGATCGGTCTCATAGTAGTGGTGCCACTGGTAGATGAGTTCATCTACTTAAGAGACTTTAATTTCTAGAAAACTACACTGGAGTAACTGCTTCAGTGATCTCCGCCTGCCTAATACTGTTGCTTTTTATGACAGACAATGTAGGTCTTCCTGTTTACTTTCCCAACCAACAAGTCAGTCAAGTAACCTTTTAGGAAATACTGTAGGCCACTTCTGAAGCATGCCTCACTGCATGGAAACCTTTATTCCTGGGATGAATGATATTCTTAGATATTCATGGGAAATAAACAGCAATAATCCTGACAGGAGGTGTTGGCAGAATGAAGTGTGAACAGGAAGCGATTAAAGATAAAAGGCAATCTCAGGAGTTACCTGTTGCTCCTTGTGTGATTATAGGTGTGGCTGGAACAGGTCACAACACAACGTAGCACCTGCCAACAACAAGCAAATATAGATTCTGAGTTTGTGCCTCTCCCAGGTGGCCCCCTGTTATATAACCAGGCCAGTCACATAAAATAAAATACTTGGTGCTTAAGACATGCTTTTTAGCTTTGACTGTGTTTCTGTGTAGACTGTGCTAGGTGTCTTATAAGCAAAGCTTAAGTGACTCCTACATCAAGCTTCCACGACATTTCATGTTAAAACCTTTACCTTCCTTTTGGTTATAATTATGCAGTGAATGAGGCAGGAGTCTAGGCCGTATGTGATCATGTAATAAGAACTGCCTCATAATGACAAGGGTGGAAAATGGTGGTTGCACCATCCACCTTCATTAGTGTATTTCTCAACCACTGTGAGTTTCACGGGTTACTTCGTTTTTTCATTTTTCTTTTAATACCTATGGCCACCTTTCTTACAAAGTTAGTAGAAGTTTTAGGTAACACTATACATACTCTTTACATAAAGAAGGTTGTGCATGTTTTCTGTGTGATAGTCAAAGTATCATTCTGACTTCAGGATAACAGATGTGTATGACAAATGTAGGCTATGTATTTTGTGTGTACTATCATCTTGCATTTCTCTGCATAGCAGACCTGAATCCTTGGGCTTTGGGAAAAGAGTCAGAAAAAATGAAATTATGGTTAGTACCTAGAGTTTTAAGGGAGCTCTCTGAAGCTAGCTCTCTTCCAGTTTACTGCCTGGAATTGCTACCCCTCCACACCAATTACGTAGCTTATCCTTTTCAGCCTCCATCCACCCTGACCTGTCTTCAGAGAAATCTTCTAAGTCAATGCAGAAGAGAGACGTTTTCCTGTGAGGAGCAGGATGTGCAGGTCTTGCATGGGACATGCTCTTTTCACAAATAGGTAGCCTTTATCCAAGACCTGTCATTTACATTTTAAATTATGTGGTCAAGAGATGAGTGGACTATCCAGTGTAATTAGGACATGCATATGTAGCAGGTGAGTTCACAGGTCCAGATCTGAGCATCCATCCCAAAACCAATGGTGGTGAGAGGAGGAGGTAGAGGGAAGAGATCTTGGTGCTCCATACTGAAACCCCTCCATGCCCAGGTCTGTGTCTGGTCTCTGCTCTTTTAGATGGAGAGAGATTATCACTCTCCCTTATTTATTCCTACCCTTTTCTTTCCTCTTTGTGATTCCTTTGTGCTTGTGTTTGCCTTTGTTGCCAGGTCTCAGCTTGCTCAGGCTTTTCAATAGTTTGCCTAGGTTTAATCTTCTTTGAAAGGTCAGTCACAGGATGAGCACTGTGTCAGCGCAGTTTTGGTCAATCTGGAGCTCTGCAGTTTGGGAAATTCACAGTGTGGCACTCTTCATTAGCTAGAGCAACCAAATTTACCAGGAGCAGAATGCATCACTTATGCAAGTCAAGATACTCAGCAGAACGATTTAGACATAATCACTGAGGTAAGAGGGTGGTTCCGGGATGTACCCACTGTTCTTTAAATATTAGCTCATCAAATCAGCAGTAGGTAAGCATAAGGAGCAGACTAATTAGCTAAGCAGGTTTTTTTGTTGGTGAGTCTCTCTAAGGCACTGCCCTCCTGCGATGAAAAAAGACCGATCTTCCATCTTGCAAACTGCTGCGGAGAAATTTGCTTAGACACCAGAAATGTTGCTGCATTCCCTCACCTGGAGAGGGAGTAATTGTTTGGGACACACATGATTTGCAGTTCAAATTCCAGCTCCTCCCTGGGTAGGTCTGTTTACTCTAAACTGTTGGCTGAGTTTGGGTCTAAGGGCACTCGCACACACACAAAGGGCAAACAGGTTTGACTTGACTGAGGACTTCACAGCGGGGAGGTTGAAGGCAAATTGCAAAGTCCTAGCAAATGAAAGACATGAAAAATGAAGGAGCATAGTTATGTTTAAAAAGTCTTAAGTATATCCAACTTTTTGTTTCCTTTACTCACAGCTTTGAAGGGAAACTGGCATAAGAGGAAAAGAATAGCTAGGCTGCTCCCAGAAGATGTGTATCTTTCACCAGGCTGTCCTGTGCAGTGCTTCCCCATGCTGTTTCATTCCTGCATCAAGCAAGACTAAGTGGCTTTACTCTCGGAGCTGTCAACTCTGGAAAGGATTTGGACTATCAAAACAATGACTGAACTATTTTTCAAAGTTTCTA